ACCAAGAAGGCTTGTTAGGCTGGTGGCAGCAGGGTGTGTTTCTTGTTCTCCTCAATTGTCCCTCCTTCAGGTGTTAAATGGGTGTTTCTGCCCTTACTGGACAACCAGTCCCACCCTCCAACTGAGTGTTAATACCTACATTTGCCTTTTTATGGGATCCAGAGCTCACATAGAACTGAAATCAGAGGGATGTGCTGTCTTCCTGGGATTTCTGTCATGGAGGAACAGCCTTTTTGTCAGTCACAGAGGTCCCTGCTGCATTCCAGATTCATGAAAGATGGAAGCCAGCACAAACACGTCTGCTCTCAGATCTGTGTGTTGTTCAGCTGTGAGTGTACTGGCAAACACCATGCTGTGATACCTTGCTGCAGCCTGGCCCCTTTCCCAAAGACTCGTGTGGCTGGAGCTCACTCAGGTGCAAACACTGACAGTGCACAGACCAGCTGCTGCTGTGAGGGCATCCCACGAGGCTCGGGGGCTGCAGACACAGGGCCCCCTCCTCTGCCCTACCCTGCCCAGGACACAGGGCTCTGCACTCCCACACGGCTCCAGTGTCCCTGCCCAGTCCTGATGAACCCTCAGAGAGGCCCTCATGCCTTCACCAGTGTTCTGGACCTTAGCTGAGCTTTGGGAGCAAGGTGAGGGTGAGTCTTCCTGTCTTGAGGAGAGAGGGAGAGGGGATGAGGAGAAGTGTGGAAAAATATCTGCTACAAAAGGCATTGAGACCTCACAGCTCATTTCACTTTTAGGTGATCTTGGCTTATTCCCAGAGCTGATGTCCATGCAATAGCAGAAGATATATTTGATTTGTAGCAAAATTTCCTTGTTCTGTGCACTTGGGAAGTCTCCTTTTCCTTTTCACACACACCTATCCTCTCAGGGGGTGTTTTAAGACCCTTTGCATTTTCTTGTAGGCTGTTTACGTTTCACTGCCCTTCAGTGAGCCAAAAGGGGCTCAAGGAGGTGGCCACAATGTACACTTTCATGTACCAGCAAGGCTGGGACAGATCCATGTCATTTGTTTGTCAGTCCCATGTTGGCCAGTGCTGAGGAGTAAGTGATGCTCAGGAATTTTTTGCCAGGTGATGCTTGGGCCAGGCTGGATGTGTGACCACACACCCAAACCCTGTGCCACTCAGCAGAGCTCAGGGATAGGCAGCACTGGGGTGGCTGGATTCCCACCCACAGGGCTGAGTGCAGGGTGCTGGGTGCTTGCTTTGTGGCTTACCAAGTTTATTGCTCATACCAGGCTGATCAGGACAGTTCCAAAACCTGGTAGTGCCACTGGAGCACCAGGCACTGTACAAAGTTGAATGAAGGCACAGCTCCCTCCCTGGGAGAGCAGCCATCCCTCTCCCTGGTGTCCAAGCCATCCTTTCCCTTCTGGTTTTAGCAACGTGCGTGCCAGTATTCACCTTCCCCCTTTGCAGTTTAGGGGTTCCATGATAATCATGTAGTTGTTGAAAATTGAAGAGCAGCTGAGGGTCACCAGCTGTTTCACTGCAGAGCTACAGGAGGGAAACTGAGGCATGGAGCTGAAGGGGCCTAAAGATGCCCTCAGAGCTCTGGAGTGACCCACTGAGGGATTGTCCCACCTGGACTCTGCGGTTGCCAACACAACCCATCGCTGCGAAGGAAACCGAGAGGAGTGGGAAGCAGCAATGCCTCCTGTCCTGCCCTGCCTTGCCTTTGGCTTGGCTTGCTGCCCTTCCTCTCCTCTTCCTCCCCTGGCACCCCTGGCTGGCAGCACGTGCCCCGAGTGCTGCTGGGCCGGCAGCCCGAGCCGGCTCCTTTAAGGCAGCCCGGCGGGAATTGCGCGGTGCCAGCCTCCGCCGCCAGTGCCGCTCCCGCTTCCCCCTCGGAAAGTTTCCTGCCCAATTGTTATGTGCGATCCGATCTGAAAGTTGCTCTCTAAGCTTCTTGTCACATTTTGACTTAATGAAGTGCAACTGGAGTGGGAATTGGGGTTCATCACGCCAGTCTCACTGCGCTCCCTTGTTGTCAGAAAACAGGGGCGGTTGGGGACCGTAATGCAACGCTGCAAGTCGTTATCATTCCGGTCAGTCTGTTTAACACAAAATTAAACAAAGAACTAATTAGTGCCTCATGAATTAATAAATGCGCAGTTGCCGGGTAGGAAGGGGAGGAAGGAAAAAAGGTTGTTGAAGGAAAGATACTGAAAAAGTCGAATTAGGATGTTGTGTCAAGGGGAAAAAAAAAATCTGAGTCCACTTTGGCGAAGAGTTTGGATCCATTGGTTTCCTTGGAATAAGCTCCCCTCCTCCTCCTGCGTCCTGCCTGCCTGCTCTGGAGCAGCAGTGTACAGCAGGCACAGGGAAGAGGCAGCCTTTCAGTGCTTCTGTGGGGGGGGGCTTATAAGAAAGACAGGGACAAACTTTTTAGTGGGGCCTGTAGTGATTGTGGTGATGGTTTTAAACTAAAAGAGGGACAGTTTAGCCTAGATTTAAGGAAGAAAATTGTTGCAGTAAGGGTGGTGAGGCCCTGGCACATGTTGCCCAGAGAAGCTGTGGCTGCCCCATCCCTGGAAGTGTCCAAGGCCAGGTTGGATGGGGCTTGGAGCAACCTGGGATAGTGGAAGGTGTCCTGCCCATGGCAGGGGGTTGGACTACGTGACATTTAAAGGTTCCTTCCAACCCAAGCAGTTCTAGGATTTTATCATTTTCCAGTGATGATCCCTAGAAGCTGGAGCTGGTGTCCAGTAGCCAGATATACATATTTACCCAAAGCATATGTGGGAGCTGAGAGGTGCGGGGTGGAAACCCTTGGTTGGGAAGGAGGGAGCCTTCAAAGCTGGTCATGGTGAGCAAGTCTCCTCTCTTTGTGTGACGGCTTTTTTCCTGGAGAATCCACGATTGACACAGTAACAGTGTGTAATCTCAGATTAACTATGTCCCAGCAGCGCTCCCCCTGCTCCTTGCCCTCTCTGGCCCCCTCCTCATGCAGAGCCGGGCAGTGCCGGGGTGTCCGTCCGGCATTCCCAGAACAGGGCTGGACATGGGGGCCGTGCCAGGCGCCCACCCGGCCGGGCAGCCCCGCAGGTGCCGTGCCGTGCCACGCTGCCAGCGAGCGGGCTGGGCTCTGGCACATTGTCAGGCAGGGAAGCAGAGCTGGGGGAGGGAAGAGTCCATCCTTAAGAGGACATGTCAAGTACAATTAGCGTTATCTGTCTAAATATGTACTGGGAACACAGAATACAAGAGGAGGCCTGGCTGGCTTTAATGGAGACATATGCAAGGTCATATTGCCTCATACAATCCCCCAATCTGATTTGGGGATTACACATTCTAAGTAAATTGGCGTTATTCCTCTTGCATCATTGATAAGCTGCGGCCGAAAGAAGAGGAGTAAGAAAAAAAAAACAATTAAAAACTCAAACCCAAGAACTGACCGTGAGCAGGGGCGAGGGAGTGAAGGCAGGAAGGCAGAGAGAGTTACAGGCAGAGAGCTCAGGAAAGGGGGAGAGAACAAAAGGGAGGGAGAGAAAAAAGAGCGTGACAGAGTGGCAGAGAAAGCAGTGGAAAGAGCAAGGAGGAAAGGGAGAACAAAGGGAAGAAAAAGGTGGGAGAAGGGATGAGAGAGCCAGAAGGACCGAGGGTGCCAGGGTGGGAGAAGCACCTCAAGTGGGGGAGCTGTTACTCCAGCCGTGCCCTCAGCCTTGTTAGCACCAGGATTTGAGTGGGAAAGGAAGGAGCCAGGCTGGTTATGCATCTTCCTCACCCGAGGGGCTCCCTGCGCTCTGTGTCCATCCATCCATCCATCCATCTGGGATATCTCACCAGCTCCTTCCCACTCTGGGTCCCAGCCAACACCAGGCATCTATCTTTGGCAGTGCTGGAGTGTGAGTGACGGGAGGAGCCGGGCCACACGCACGGAGCGCCAGCGCCCCGGACACAGGGGCAGCACAGCGTCCCCTGAGCCCAGTCCCTCTCACTGCTGCCCTCCCAGGGGCTAAAGAGGGTCCCTGCAAGGGGCTGGCTCCTGGCACCCGCTGGTGCATCCGGAGAGGGAGAGTGTGGAAAGCTGGATTCAACCCCGGGCTGGCTGTGCGTGACCTCGGGGCAGTTTGTCACTGCACTGCCACTCCGGGCAGCTGTGGGAGCTGTTCTGGCAGGGCTGCAAAACAGAGGCTGCAGGAACAGCCCGAGCACCCTCACCACTGTGCGTGGAGCCACCCCGTGCTGCCGGCCCCTCCCGGCTCTGGGAGAGGGAGGTCCCTGGCTGGCTGTGGATCAATCCTCCCCCTCCCGCGAACTCTCCTCCTGCGCAGGATAACCCCCTCCTGAAGTCTCACGGCACGGCTTTTATGCTCTGTCACATTTTTGGAACATATGGTTTTAAATAATTCAATTTACTTTTCATGTGTTTTGCTGTGACTTTTTTTTCCCCTGTCCCTTTTCTCTTTCCTCCTCACTCTCTGGATTCTCCAGGGTAAAAAATGCACAGATGAGTGGATAAAGGGGTTCAATGCACTGGGACCCAGCCCTGCACCCCATCATCTTGTGCCCCACTGGTGTGCAAGGGAGGCCTCAGCATTAGCACACGGGTGAACCTCTGTGAAAGAGGGGTCAGCAGAGGAAATGGGAAGATTGGGAAGGGAAAAATTTGACATGGAGCAGAAGGCAGCCTTGGATATGTGGGCAGAGCGTGGTGTAGACCAGCAGGAGGTCTGTCTCTGATACCTGGAGAGCAGGATTCAGGCCAGTAATAGCTGCTCTCTCTATGGGAAATTATTCCCAAGCCTCCTTGGGAGCCTCTTCCACAGAGAAGTGCCAGAGCACGGTGTGTCTGGCGGGGTGTGTGGCATTGTGGGGTACAGCCAGGAGCAAGGAAAGCATTTTGTTCCCTTGTGGAGCCTGAATATCCCAGCCTGGCCCTGCTTGCAGGAGGGTTCTCACCCAGGTGTTGTGAGTTGTCTGTGCCTTGGCTCTTGCTCTGATGTTCCCTGTGTGTTAACTGGATCCTTTCTCTTCCCCTTCCAGAATGAAGTGAATTTAGAGCTAAAAACGAGGCAAGAAACCAGGCCTTGAAATCTCCGAAAGGTAGGAGAGACTTCAGACTGCAATGGGTATGTCACTACGCCCTCCTGGGTTCTCTTTTCCTCTGCGTGTCTCTCACACTTATGGCCTGCTCACTGTGGCTGTGTCTGCACTAGAACTTCTGGGGTTGGACCAGTGTTAGTTACAGAGATGGAAACAGAAGAAGGTCTATTGCAGACAAGGCCTGTGTGTGTCCTAATCCTGTCTTTGTCTTTGTACACCAATTGTTCGGGCACCTGGTTTTGTCACTGCGGGTTTTCCTCAATATCTGCTCTCCTGCCTCTGTCTTTACAGATAAAAAACTGTGTGAGGGTTTTGGTGAGAGGGTACTGCTTCATCTTCATCCATGTGGGCTGGGGGAGATGGATAAGGTCCTTTCACTGAATAGGATGCAGTCTCCATCTACTGTGAAGTTTTGCTGAGCTCAGTTCACATAATTCAGATGGTGATGTGCCTGTTCTCCTCCTCCTCTGGCACAGTTTTATCTATTCAGACTGCAGCACCGTGGTGGTAGGATGGAAGCAGCTCTGTCTCCAGCAGAATCCTGACTTTTCTGGGTTTTCCCTTTAGCTAGACCGTCACGGTCTGTCTTACTGCAAAAAAAATCCAGCTTCGTGATCTCCTAGAGCTGGATGGTCACTTAATCTTTGTCTGATAAGAGTTAGAGGCCTAAAACCCATGGGAATGAAAGGTGATTGTGTCTCTTAAATACCTCATTTCCATGTGCTGGGTCAGAGATTCCCTGTGCCACCTCAGATGATGGTTACTGAGAAGTCCCTGCCAAACCAAGGCAGTTCCTGCTCTCTCTGGCCCTTCCTTGTGGCCCCAGGAGTACCTCAGCTCCCTGTGTCACCTGGAGAGTTCCCACCCTCTTCCCTGTGTCCCTGCTCGGTACCCCCTGCAGCACTGCCACTGCTGGCCTCTCCCATTGCTCCTCTCCCTGCCCAGGCACCTCGGCAGCTCTGAGGGCAGGAGTGGCCATGGGGAGGGTGGGCAGTGCTCTGCCCTGTGGGACATCCCCTCCGAGGTGCCGGGAGCGCTCTCTGGGATCTGGGATGTGCCTGCACTCAGAGCATCCCTGTGGCAGTGGGGACCCCTGACGCCCGGTTCCAGGGAGCTCACGGGCTGAGTCCCAGCGCCATGCGAGGGGCCCGGGCTGGCTGGGGCGGGAGGGGGCCCCAGGCCGGGCTGGGCAGTGTCAGAGGTGACCGGTGGAAGGCCAGTGTTATGTAAATACCGCTGCTGTAACATGGCAGGGCTGAATGGCCCTGTGCGTCCATCCATCATTGCTGGGGAACAGAAGCCTCCCTGGGAGCACAGGGGGCCGGCAGCGCGGGGCAGGCAGACACAGGCAGCATGTGCCCTACTCATAAACTGTTTGTTTTCTTTTTGTCTCTCTCGTTTCGAGGCACCCCACCGAGAGCAACTCTCTGTTTTGTCCTTGCAACCTCTCCCCCAACCTTCCCCCCACCACTTTGGGCCTTCCTTTTCCTCCCTCTTTCCCCCGGCCCTTAAAAAAATAGGGGGGGGGGGGGAAAGGAGAAGGGAAAAAAAAAAAAGAAAGTCCCCAGTTCACATTGCGGCTTCTTTCTCTGACTTCAAAGGCTCCCCATCATTGTTTGGGATCGGCAGGCAGTGGCCCTGAAAACGTGATCACAGCCGGGCACAGTGTAGGTCACCACCGAGCGCCATGCTCCGAGCGCTGAAAGGAACAGGCAGATTCTTCCCTTTTCATGCTTCACAACCCTGGTTACAGCGCTCTGCCTCGCCCGCGTGCTCCTCCTGCGTGGCTATTCTTGCTCTTTTCTCCTCCTTTGCCTCCCACCCTCCCTCTCTCTCTCTCTTTCTCCCAGGTCCCTCATTTCTCCGTCCCCGTGCTCTCATCCTCCCCTCCTCTGTGCCCGGCATCACACACTTTTCACACTTTCTTATTTTCTTTCCATTACTTTTCTTCCTCACTCTCTCCCACCTGGCACTGCTGCCACTTCTCTCTGTTACGTGAATCACTGTTTTATTTCTCCCTTTTCCCTCTTCCAAAGGCCAGTCAGGAGGTTGATTTCCTCATGCTCCCTGTTGCTGTTTGGTAGCAGCCGTCCTCTGACATTTGCCCATGTTTCTGTCTTCCCCTGTGATATCTCACTCACTGTGCCCAAAACTGCAGTGGTTCTGTAATCTCTGGATCAGCCCCAGGCAGATGACAGCCCTGCCCTCCCCACAAGGTGTGAGCCCACTGCTCTCATGTGCAATGGGCTTATCCCCCGAAATGTAGCACGGCCTCACGTGGGGAGGCAGCACACGGAGCCTGCCAGCAGTGTCAGCTTCCAAACTTGCTCTCTGGCTTTGCTGGTTAACCTGAAGGACTTGGCAGGTGGGGTTAGTGTTGTGGGTGGGTTTGGGAAGCCAGACACTGACTTGGGAATGTCACAGGGAAACCTTTGTATCTTGTAGGTCTCACATGGAACATGACACTGATGGTAGTCCTGAGGGCAGAGTTAGGCAGGGATAAGGCAGAGGGAAGGAGGCCCAGTTTGAACAGGCATCCCAGAATACTTCCTAAGCAGCTCTCAACGAGGGAACATCACCTCATTGTACTGAAGCCTTGGGTGTGTTTGGCTGCACGATGAGCCAACAGCCAGACAGCAACTCCCTGCCTCAGAACATCCCCCCAGCAACACCAGGAGCTTCATCTTGCTGCAGGGGAACAGCCTGGCCTCTGTGCCCCTCCAGCACCCACCCGGGCACAGCTCCCTCCCCGCTGCCCCCGGAAGCGGAGATCTCCGTGCTTGTGCCTCTGGTGATTTGTGAGGTTGTTTTAATGCCGAGGAGCCCACCAGGACTTGTCTCTTGCTAAATAGGCATATTAAGGGACATTGCGGCAGGGGTTATAGAGTAATAATTTGTCCTAATGAGCCGGTGTCACGTTCTCCCCGGCCGAGCCGTGCACAGGCAGGAGCTGTGGTAGGAAGGGGCTGCGCTGGCTGACCTGCCAGCCCAGGTTAATGAAGTACTGCACTGCCCGGGGTCAGAGAGCAGGAGCTCAGCCAGGCAGCAGTGGTTCAGGGGGCTGGAGGGGAAGGAGAGGGCTCTCCCCTGAGCTGAATGCCCCAGGGAGGGCCTGTGCCATGCTGGACTGAGCAGCAGGATGGACGTTACGGCACTGGGATCTCCGTGCTGTGCTGGTGGGCTGAGAGCCTCAGCACCCTCATCAAACTGTCTGCAGGCAGAGGTGAACCTGCTGCGGCTGGGGCATGGCTGGGGTTTGTCCTCTGGCCCTGCAGGAGAGCCCAGGCTGATGCATGTGGAAGGAGGCTGGAAGAGTAAGAGAGAAGGACCTCACCTTGTTACAGGTGCTCCCAAGACTGGCAGGGTTGAGATCCCACAGAGCCAGACCAAAAAACACCAGGGGATAGGTGCAGGCATATGTGGCAGGTGGTGATGAGCAGTGCCTAGCTAGGAGGTTTACACAGAGATACCAGAGGAAGTTCTCTCTGTCCTTCCTGTTCCCTCTTTCTCCTCCCGTTATGCTCCCCCATGGCTTGCTGAGGTCCTTTGCCTTGCACAGCAACTCTGAACTCAAACAGTTGCTTCCATCCCTTGTGGGAGGTGGGCAGGAAAGGCACAGGGAGTGTTGCCAGTCCCCCAGTGAAGAGCATCAGGGAGCAGGCTGGAGGCAGGACAGCCTGAGCAGCTGTGGTTCTGCAGGAGAGGGCAGGAGGAACCAAGAACAGGGAGTCCTGGCCTACCTGCTGCCTTGGGGATCCATGGCCTGCCTCGTCTCTGTGGATCACACAACCCCGTCCATGCCACACCAGTGCCCTGTGGTCTGCAGCACAAGCCTTGTATACCATCTTCCTCCTCCTCCTCCCACTCTTTGCTCCTTCCCCCCCCGCTTCTCTTTGCTTTTCCCTGTCTCCATCTCTCTCTCCCTTTCATCTACTCAGAAGGCTTTACTCTACTTCCTTGTCACCCTAATTGATTGCATTAACCTTTCAGCGTATTGGATTTCCCCAGCACCGTGCAGAGAGCACTGTGCAATATGCTTATAATCCGGGCTGTAATGGACAGGGAGCAGTCAACGAGCCCCTGCTCCAACAGGTTCTGCTGACAACTTCTTCTCAGAGAGGGGGAGAGGGAGCACTGGTGGGACCTGCCAGCACGGGGGTCCTGCAACCCCTGCGCAGCCTCGGTGCTCCCCGCGAGCAGGGTTCCGGTGTTAGCTTGGGAGAATGGAATCCTTGGAAAAGGATCCAGCATGGGAAGTGGGGAGATGTTGTATTTGACCCTCTTACTGTAATTTTTCCTTGTGTCTGAGCACCCCCCTTGTCTGTCTGCTTGCCTGCAGTTTTGTTCCATCTGTTCAATGCTAAATTAATGTGTGCCTTACATTTAGGCACTTGTTGCTGGTGGCAGGATGAGAAGACAGCATCATGGAATCTCCCTGTTTTCACATCATGCTTTCCTCTGCCTTGTCCTTTAATTCCTGTGTATGAGGATGTGAGGGAAGCAGACACCTTTCCTGAGGTTTCAGAGAAAAGCATAGGAATTTTGTGCTGATGAGAAGACAGCACCAGGGTGCAGAGAGATGTGGAGATAGAAGCCCTGAATTATATCTCAGGCTTGGCCTTGGATAAATCCTTTCACTCCTGGGTACCTCATTTCCCCCCAGGATGTCAGAGCTGTGCTTTCCGTGCAGCAGAGTCTGCAGGAGGGCTGGGGGAGACCCAGGGCTGTTATCACTGCTCACAGGGCAAGGGTGGGAACGTGGCTGCAGACAGGCAGTGAAGCTACACAGCCAAGTCTCACTGCTCACGCTGCCAGCTAGGCAGGAAATAAACCCACATGATCAGTGGCAAGAGCATGTCAGCCTGTGAAAGGCCTGGCAAACTGCTGGTGGCCAGGGCAGAGCCAAGAGATGCTTTGGCATCCTTTATTTTAGAGGACTGGGATGATGGATCTGCCATAATCTGCTGGCCGTGGTGCCCAGGCTCAGTTCAGCACAATGCTTTGAGCACTGGGATGAGTTTCACTG